TTGATAGTCAACCTTGGAAAGGAGTTAAATATTAAAAATAAATTCATAATGCGCATCTATCCACACTATAGATAGCGGTCGAAGTGGGTCTCTTGCTCTTTAGAATCATACTCATCAGATGACTCAAACATATGGGATGAGTTTGATTCTAAATTCAGGTCCCGTTGAGGCCCATGTCAATAGGGTAGTCAAGACTTAGCGAGGGTTCATTTTAGAAAATGCAAGCCTTCTATTTGATTAATAATGAATGGATCATGTATTACTTCCTATCTGACCATGCTTTCATAAAGCTCTAACAATTAATCATAATTACGTGAAATTTGGTTGCAACAAGTCCTCATTCTTCGTGCATGCAGGCCTATAAGCTGTCTCCCGGTGCGCATTTCGTCTTTTTTTATGTTCTGTGTTTTTTTTCTTTTTCATATCCTACAAAGAAAGATGATATTCGCCCTTTGCAGAGCTCTTCATAGAGAAGCAAATTTTGTACATATATTTGGGCGCAGTTCTTTTGTCAGGATTCGGGACGTCAGATTTTTCTCGAAAAATCATATATACACTGAACTAGATAGCTGGCATCGGAAAGCACTCTGGCGCTCTTATCTTTATGTCCCTGGGGACCAAAAAAGGAAGATTGAGAAGATGGCTCAAGTTTGCAATGATGCCGCTTCTTCAAAATCTTCTGCCAATGTTCTGAGCAGCAAGCTGAATTCGATTCCTGATCTCATCGTGCTGGATTGCGAGGATGCTGTGGCGTTCGATAGGAAGGTTAGAAGGTTGTCGCATCTTTTGGTTGTGATTTTTAAAATTAATTTCTGCAGACGATAACAAGTTAAACTGGGCCTTTTTCTTATAGATGATGGAGCACCTTGCATTCGTTCAAAGAAGCGAGTTGAAGAGATTCGTAAGTTGGTTCCATGGAAAGCTGTTGAGGGATTGCTTGGAGCTGTGATTATAGATCTTTGCGAATAGGGACGACTATTTTGATATTTGGCAACATGGCAAAGAAAACCTTGAGAATTTTTGTGGTTTGATGAACAGGATCGATTGGAAGAGGGAATTCACCATCAAGTTAAAAAGGAAGGTAGTTTGCCTTTTCTTAATGTCCTAGTTAGTAAAGAGGGGACAAGATTAGGTATAGATGTGTATAGAAAACCCACAAATGCAGGCTTCCTTTGGAATTTATTTTCCAATCACACTTATGGGGTTAAAGTAGGAGCTGTGAAATCTATGATAATAAGGACCCTGAGTCTGGCAAATGTTAAGCATTGAGACCAGGAATTCGGGAGACTAAGGAGAATTTAGGTTAAGAATAAGTATCCACGAGGACTGATTAACAAT